AAAAAAAAAGGAGAGAGAGAGAGAGAGAGAGAGAGAGAGAGAGAGAGAGAGAGAAAGAGAGAGAGAGACCCGACCGAGTTCCAGCATCTCTCACTCTCTGCTCCCCAATCGTGTATTTCATGTGAGCTGTTGCCTCAACTTCCTCCTGGCTTAGTCCTCTGTACTCTCAAGCCACTAGCCAAAATAAGCTTGTTTTTTTTTTCCCCTTAAGTTACTTTTGTAAGGTATTTTATCACAGCAACAAGATAACTAACTAATCCTCCTCTCAAACCACGTTCTGGTACATCACAGGCACTGCGCAGCCACCCACGTACTTCAAGAGACGTCAGAAGCGTTCTCAGAGATAGCTCTTCCCAGTAGCTGTGGTGTGGTGGAGGCTTCCACCCAGGGTCACTGCTGCCTGGCTTGTGCTCCTCTTGTGGTCTGGCCGGATTTCCCTGAGGCTCTTCCTCCCTGCACAGCCCATCCTTGTTCCACTCTCAGGTGGCAGGCTTGCACTTCAGTTTGCATCCTCTGCCCTGCCCACCGTTCCCGTTTCCTCTCCTCTTTCATGGAGAATAGGAGGTTAGGCGTTTCTTTCTACAAATCTCACACATTCATAACTCTATCTTGGATTCACCTTCCCACAAGATTGGGGCAGACCGGGTACTCCATGCGTGTTGCTCCATGAGCTGAAGAGATCACAGTTAGGATGAGAGGCATGAAATACTGTGCAGGTGACCAGAGAGAGCTGAGGAAACTAGGCTGTACCCAGTCCTTGACGGAAGAAGTGATTTGGCAGGGTTGGGTTGACGTGTGCGTGTGTTAAACACTCAGTAAATAACAGCTATTTTATTGAGTACATTTGATTATGTGTACTGAGGCATGAGGTATGGAAGGTCACAGCAGAAGCAAAGAATAAGGCAAGAGGAGAGATCAGGAGTTTTGGACCAGGGGGCATGGTCTACTCATCCTGCTCAGTTAGGAACTCTGTGGGAGCTGCCATTTCTTTTGAAGTTATAGGACTTCTGGGGACTTTCAGTCCTACATGGTGTCAAGTGTTGAATTTATTTATTTTTTAGGCTCTTTGGTTTTACAGATATTTAAGTGGCTAATATAATTTCAGTGAAATTGAAGAATATTGATAAATATCCTTCTTCATCTATAAAGATAGGTTCTGCTTTTCACTTGCATATGGGGCCCAAGTGAAGGCTGATTAAGATGTGTGGCAAGAGTCATCAGGTCTGTACCTTGTGGAGTGGTACCTTGAGTTCCTTCCAATTTAAAGTTATTCTCACAGGGAAAAAAATCAGCTAAGCAGTTAGCTTTCCCATGTAGTGAGTCGTGATTATGAGAGTCCCTTCATTAGATGAGAAACTATCTGTACAGAGCACACATTGTGGTAAACAGGCTAGAACTAGGAAATTTATAGAGGATCAGGAATTTAATGTTATGAGATGAAAAGCTAGGAGTGGGCTGCATGCCTCTAATTCCAGCATTTGGGAGGTAGAGGCAGGTATATCTCTGAGTTCAAGGCTACAGTCTACAGGTCTACAGTGAGTTCCAGGACAGCCGTGGGTACACAGAGAAACCCTGTCTTGAAAAAAACAAATCAAATCAAATCAAACCAAACCAAAGACCCCCAAAATTGTAATGGGATGACAACAAACAAACCAAACAAAAGACCACCCCCCCAAATTGCAATGGGATGCTGATAGCCAACAGCAAACGTAAAATAAATTATTCTTTAAACTATCTGGTTATCTGCAAAGCTGTCCAAATGACCTATAACCCATAACTTCTGGGAAGCAACTACTGATTTCTCTTGGTACAGCAAGTCAGCGAATGGAAACATTCCTAATCCATTCATTACCCGTCAGTGTGCCAGTAAGCCTAGCAGAAACATAATTGGCTGTTTCCTAAGGGTGCCATTTTTGAAAGGTTAGTGAACCCATCCACATTTCCCCCAGAGCCCTAGGGGTTAATTTTACCTTGACTGTATGGACATAATGTAATTCTGATGCTCTTTGAAATGCAATACAATTCCCAAAGAATTAATAGTTTTCTTTTATTTGTTTTACTCTTTAAACATCAGACAGTATGCCTTTCTATACCACTGAGTAACATAATCTGATAGCTAAAAATTTTATTAGAAGACCTATTATTGCACCATATATAATGATATGGCCATTAACAAAACCCCACTGGGTCCAAGTGTATGTCAAAGTTCAGAACCTTTCATATTCTGCAGAGGCAATACCTAAAGCATATCATGTGATCTGTAATACAAGATGTGGAGACTCACCATGTAAGTACAATATAGATATTTTCCCCACCGAAATTCTCTACGTTAATATAGGTTTTGCCTCCAGATGGATTTGTAGTCTATGTTTATCAAGCGCCAGCCAAATTAAAGCGTTCTGTTTTAGGCAGTCCTGGACAGGGAGTGGTGGGACTGGAGTTAATGCTATTCTAAGTTCCCTCTTGGGGAGCCCCTACTAAGATAATGAGGGGATAGAGAAGCAGACAATGAGGCATGGAATCACAGCTGGGGGCTCTCACTGCTGCTTTCTATCTGTCTGTTACATGTGTGGATGAAACCATCTACAAAGTATCTCTCAGGCTCTAGAAACCTGAAACCGTCTACAAAGTATCTCTCAGGCTCTAGAAGCCTGAAACCATCTACAAAGTATCTCTCAGGCTCTAGAAGCTAGAACAGAGAGAGCTTTGTTTAAAATGAGCAGCGAGGAATCACCCTCCCACTAGAGAGCGATTAGCTCACAGAGATCTAATTGTGTGTCTGATCTGAAGGAGCCAAATACACCTGGAGTGGAGAATGTGAATCAGAGGAAGAAAACAGCTCCTTTCGATCATGCTACATTCTTATTCCTCACAGACCTGCACTTTAAAATGGCGATTCTGCATCAGATCTTATAGGGCTGCCGAGGGCCCCATAAGCTCCAACTCAAATTTCTTTTTATCAAATCGGTAATCGATTGTTATATCAGCTGAAACAATTCTGCTACAAATGATGAAGGCAGGTATTTAAAGTACATTTGTTATCATAGACACTTGATTAGAAAATAGGTTTGTTTACCGTTACATTGATGGCTAGCATCAGGCACCGTCTAGAACATGAAGATTTCCCTTGTGAGCTAAACAGTTTGGGTTAAGGAAGTTCTCAGTCATCACACACGAGATACTCAGTTGTTTGGATACTGCTCTTCAGAAGACATCTGTGCTTCCTCCAAGTTGAGTCTGGTTTGGCTGTTTGGTTTTTGGAATTTGGAGGCATAGGGTTCTGCGTAAGGAGCTCTGTATAGCGTGGGTATCTGGGTCCCACCTACTGCCTTTGTGCTTCCTAGCGTGCTGTGGGAGTGCATGTTCTGTCATTCAGATGATCTGTTTTGATCCCCTTAATAAGAAAGTGGCTGCCTAGCAGTTGTGCTTTCATCAAAATTTCCCTATATTTTCGTGAATTAATTTCTGTTGAGTTTGATAATTTTGTTATTGATAGACATCTGTGCCTCCACACAATTCTTTTATCTCTGCCTGGAGATAACGGCTTGGTCCATCATTCAGGGAAAATTCTCGTCTTCATCAGAGATGCTTCCGTTTGCATTAAATGGTGATTAATACAGAGACCCACAACTGGTCAACGTGCCTAGAATAAGGGACTGCGGGGTGCTCCTTCCACCGCTGCACCTTTTCCTCCCAAGGCTCGGGGCTCGTTGCAGAAGAAGGGGTTGGAGGACCATAAGAGTCAGAGGTGTGGGTGACTATAACAACAATCTCTCCTAGACACAGCTAGGTCGCACATGACCTGACAGGGGCTGTGGCTGAATGCACAGACCGGCACATGGTCAAGCCGGACAGAATTCTTTTTTTTTTTTTTGTTGTTGTTGTTGATTTTTTTTTTTATTGAGAATAGGAAAAAAAAGTTTCCACCTCCTCCCAGCCTCCCATTTCCCTCCCCCTCCCCCACNCCTCCTCTCCCCCTCCCTCTCCAATCCAAAGAGCAGTCATGGTTCCCTGCCCTGTGGAAAGTCCAAGGACCTCCCCCCTCCGTCCATGTCTAGGAAGGTGAACATTCAAACTGGCGAGGCTCCCACCAAGCCGGATCATGAAGTAGGATCAAAACCCCTTGCCATTGACCTTGGCTTCTCATCAGTCCTCATTGTTCGCCATGATCAGAGAGAAGCCGGACAGAATTCTAGCATGAAAGGGGGGAAGGACAGGAAGTCCAACTCCCAGCTGAGGGGCGGGACAAATAATGGCTGAGGAGGAGGGGAAGGCAGTTTTCTTCCTGGACGAGGTTCCTGAGCGGCTACTCATTCTCCCGTGGATGACCCCACGCCATGCCCACGCTAGTGGCACCAAATGGGTTCCATGAGCTTTAAGATAAAGAGAAGACCGAAAGGGGACGGAGTAGTGGTGGTGGGGATGAGGAAGAACGGGAAGGGAGGGAATGGGGACGGACTTGACTGAGGCATATTATAAACCTGTATGAAATTCTCAGTTAATAAAAAAGATATAACGCCATCTTTATAAAACACCAACTGTTTTCAGTAGTGAAACTTGGAAGCTGGGAATTATCTTAACATTAAAAAGATAATCTGTGTTGGGTCTAATATGGGATGCATGCAGTCATAGACGTCATATATATATATGTATATATATATGTATATATATATATATGTACACTGTCTCCTTTTATTTTCCCAGTATCTCTGAGAAGGAAGTACAATTGTCCAGATATAGTAAAGGAAGAAATGGAGGCTAGGAATTGAACATAGGTGTAGATTAACAAACATTGGACTTAGGAATCAAATCAAGTTTTTTTTTTAAATGTAGAATATTTTAAAATGTTTTTCCTGGAGGTATGACTACCGTGTGTTCTGTATACTATTTATATAGATGATTTGGAAATATTTTTCCATATGTTGCTGTACAGGAATAGGAAGCTATGTGGAACTCATAGGATGAACAGAGAGAGAAGGAGGTTTCATCCTGAATAACGACAAACATTTCCTCACACACGAAAAGAACTAGGCTCTGTTTAGCATCATCATTATCAAAAACTTCATCTGGAAAGAAACAACAAAACTCTTAAGAATATATAGCTAAACACACGGCACGATTTTATGCTTTACATGCTTCTCTTGTTTCACTTTCGCTCTTTGGATGATCAGCATGAGAATGAGGAATCTAAAAATATTGTTCACCTGTGCCTACCGTAATCTGCCACATTACAATCTTAGCTACAGCTCTCAAAATGTCAGAACAGAAGATCATAAACTGTCAGAGTCAAAATCTGCTCAAAGTCAAGTTCAACATAATGGACTAAGGGAAAAAAATCCAACTGTGAGAAAACTTGATGGTGACCTACAAATTTTAAAAATAGCATCCTTTAGAAAAATACTAAATTTGTATGAGCACTATGATTAAAATGGCACAGCCAAATTTGTTTTCCAGCTTCTCGAAGCTCTCTGCAAAATGCACCTCATCTCTTCCTTGCAGGTGAACTGTGTGCCCTGCCCCAGTGGAATCCAGACAGACGGCAGCAAACACAGTTTTTATTTCTT